AAGAACTTGGTTTGAGGAGCCTCCTTCCCCTGGCGTGTGACCTTGGGCAGCCCTGGCTTTCTGGAGCCTGGTATTTTCATCTGAAGGTCAGCATGACATTTACTGTTTTGTCAATAGTTGGAAAATGACCACCATGTGAACACTGGGGACAGGCTACGGGGCCTACCTTAATATCCCAGAGACCCACAGGTTGAGAGGGCAACCCCTAGATCTGCATGTCCAGAGCACCCCACTCCTCTCCACAGTGGGCCTGCAGAGGCCCAGGAGTTGGGCCTGCTGAGCTGTGTCCATGGAGTCACAGGAAATAGAGGTCTGGGGGTGGGACCCTGCAGAAGCCTATTGGTCACCCTGTCCCTGTTCAACAGCTGGCTCCTCCACCTCAGGACCTTTGCTCTGAGGCAAGTCTTGGGGGAAATGGATGTCCCTTTACCGTGTGGGGTGCTGTTGCTAATAAATTGCTGGATAGGGTTGACAGGGTTGGGGGGGTTGTTTTAATTCTTTTTAAATGTCAGTGGAGGGTTTTTGGTTTTGTTTGGTTTTTTATAATACATGGACACAATACCTTTATTTGTTTTTATGTGGTACGGGGGGATCGAACCCAGTGCCTCATACTGCTAGGCAGGCGCTCTACCACTGAGCCACAGCCCTGGCCCAGTAGAGTGCGTTTTGACACATCATATATACATGAGGTGTAGTTCTCCGTTCTGTGGTTGTACACTGTGTGGAGTACACTGGCTGTGTATTCACACATGGACAGGCAGGTTACGTCCCATTCATTCTACTGTTTCTTCCCATTCCTCCACCCCCATCCCGCAGCTTTGGTACTGGGTTTGAGCCCAGGGGTGCTAAGTTAGACACAATATTTTATGTGGTGCTGAGGATCGAACCCAGGGCCTCCGGTGTGTTAGGCGAGTGCTCTGCTACTGAGCCACAACCCCATCCCTGAGCTACATCCTTTTAATTGTCCTGTGGTCTTAACCACATTGCCCAGACTGGCCTCGAACTTGGGGTCCTTCTGCCTTGGCCTCCTGAGCCCATGGGGTTGCAGGTTTGGCTGGCTAGCCAAGGATGTTGTTTTGGTTTTTAATATTTGTAGATGGACACGATGCCTTTATTTTTTATGTGGTGCAGAGGATTGAATCCAGTGCCTCGCGCTTGCTAGGCAAGTGCTCTGCCACTGAGCCACAGCCCCGGCCTGCAGCCTGGGTTTTTTAACATTGAAGATTCTCTACGGATGGACCAGTTTACCTTCCCAACAATACTGAAGAACAGGCCACTTCCAACCGTGGGTCACCTTATTCTAAGTCACATTTGAATTTGTCTTGTTTTCTTTCTGTGAAGGAAGCTGAGCACTTTTTGCTGGTTTTTAAAACTACCAACCTCCCCAGTGGTTCGTTGCTCTACTGGGCTGTTTGGGGAAGTCCCAGATGCTGTTTTGCAGGACACCTGTGATGTTCCTTAGCATATGTTAGTGGAGATGTGGCTAAACTTAAAAAAACTTGTCTAATGGGTTTTGTTAATGTTCGTGTTTTCTGACAGAAACTCCTAGTTAACCTGCTTGTCTTTTCTCAGGAGGATCGCCCTAGTTAAATGCCACCCTATCAGGTGGCTCTGTGATGTGAGCCATTTTCAGGAAATAACCATTGGGTCAGAGTGTAGGCATAGGGCCAGCCTTCCAGCAATCCTCTTGGACCATGAGGAAGACCAGCAACACTGTAGGAGGAACTTTGGTACTTTGACCCCGTAGAGTGCCCCCACCCCTGGGCCTTACCCACTTCCTCAAAACTAGAATATGTCAAGTCACCAGGCTGTGGTCGGGGGCTGCCCTGTTAGATGGGACTTAACTAAAGCAGGGCCTGAAGGAGGCAGGGCATTGTAGAGACTGCTGGGGACATCTCTACCCTCTTTAGTCTGACAGGCGTTAGGGTTGCTGGCTGGAGATGTGGCCAGCGAGGAGGGAAGCCTTCCCCATGGCCATGAGTGGGGCTGGCCAGGGCGGGCATGGAAGGGTGGCTGGGGCCCAAGGAGGAGCATGGGGAAGGTCCAGGGACCCCTTCACCTCTTGGTATTGAGGCTCTCCAGAGCCCTGTTCTTGGGTGCCAAAGTGCTGGGTGTCAGGCATGGACAGGGCTGGGGAACGTGGGAGATGGGTGTGAGCCTCCATTCCTGAGCCAGGGCAATGCCAAGAGCAGGTGAGATAAGTAGGGGCACAGGAGAGCCCAGACCCACGTCCTGAAGCCCAGGGACAGAATCCTGGAGACAAACCCTGTGGGGATTATCACTACCTCACAGAAGTTCGAGCTGTCACCCTTGGCGTCTGCCACATCTTCAGGGAGCCCTGGGGTGCCTGGGGCAGGCAGGCAGCACCCGAGCCCCCTCCACCCCACCATCTGCAGCTGCCCGTGGTCCCTGCCAGCTCCTGACTTGGGGCCGCCCACCCTGTGTGCATCTTGCTAGTCCTTCCTTCCCCCACGTCCCCACCACCACAGGAGAGTGCCCCGCCCGCCCTGCAGTCTTCCCCCAGGATTCCAGAACATGTCCAAATCCAGCCTGCAGCTCCATCTTGGATATGGTCACTTGCCCCAGACTCAAGTGGCTCCCCAGCACTGTCCCCATAACCCAGGGGGACAGTGGCCTCCCTGCTTGCTTCTTCCCACAGCAGGTGCTGTTCCTGGAGCTCCCTCCCCGAGGCCTCCAGCAGGCGCACCCTGCAGGTCTCCACCGGGAGGGACCCCTAGGACCCCCAGGCTGTCTCCACCTCTCACCTCACCTTCTGAAATGACTGCTGATTGGGTCAGCGTCAGGAGGCAGCACAAGGGCAGGCCCTCCTGGGTGCTGCTGAGTCACAGTGCCTGACACGCCCTGCACACAGTAGGTGCTCAATGAACCAGTTTCACAGCCCAAGCCTGGTGCATGCAGGATCACCCTGGTGGAGGGACAGGCCAGCAGGCAACAGCTGCCTGTGTGACAGCATGGAGTGAAGGCCTGAGAAGACTGTCCAGGGGCAGGTGGGACCTCTCGGGGGTGCTGGACCCTGCCAGGTGGCATGTGCAGGCCACAGGATGCCACCAGGGGGCGACGGAAGCTGGAGAAGAGGACAGTAATCTGAGGGAACTGAGCTCTCAGAGTGAGGTCCCCTGGGAAATCGGGTCCCAGCAGGACCTCAACCCAGAGAGACCCCAGGTCCACCAGGAAGGGCGCTGAGATGACAGCTCCTAGGGACCGTGGCTACACGACCCTAGGCAGCAGACCTCCAACCCTGAGCCTCGTGTCCCTCCTCCGAGCGGTGGGCACGGTGGAGACCCCCAGATCCCCCCTCCTTCCTGGGTAGTCAAGGTGCTTCGAGCCCACAAAAAAGGTGACGTCGTGGAGATGAGTGTGGGGAGCAGGGCGTGTCCAGTGGCCACAGAAAGGAGAAGAGAGCTCACAACCGCTTCTCCCAGGGGCTGTGCGGGGTGGGGGGGAGGGGACGGACAGAACATAGGACAGGAATAATGAGGGAGAGGGACCGGCTGGAAAGGGGAGGAGTCCTCTTGTCCTTCTGGGCAGAGGTGCAGGTTTTCCAGGAACTGGCTCTCACCTCCGGTCACTCCTTTCTTGGTCTGCTGTTCGGGTCGAGGTGGCTGGTGGGTGTGCTTAGCCTTAAAGGGGGCCGGGAGGGGCAGAGAGAGCCCCGGAGTCCAGTCATTGACCCCATGGGAGAGTTTTGGACAAAACTCCAACCAGCCACCTGTCTCCGTGCAGAGTGGCCTTGCACCTGCTCCTGAAGTTAAAGGAGACACAGACAGTGTGGAGGCAGGGAGGCCGGGCATCCCACGGGCTCCAGCCACCCACCACACTCCCGTGGGCCCAAAAGAAGAGTTGGTGTTTGCAGCAAGTGACCTTCCAGTCCCTAAAGGCAACTGTTATCATCGTGACCCACAGATCAGAGGTGTGATCTGCAGCAAAGCCAGAGGGACCAGAGATGTCCTGTCCAGCTGTGTGGCCTCCATGGCCAGCTGCTTTTTAAGTCAATTAAGAGCAAGTGAAGGGCTGGGGCGGTGGCTCAGTGGCCGAGCGCTTGCTAGCACGTGTGGGGCACTGGGCCGGATTCTCAGCGCCACATTACATAAAGAAATAAAGGTCCATCAACGACTAATACAAATGTATTTTTTTAAAGAGCAAGTGAAGCTGGAGGGATTATTTAGGGCCTCCTCAGTAGCAGCAGGTCTTCAGGTACTGAGGTTGGCAGCCACAGCAGTCACCCCATGACCTCTGTCGTCCACTTTCCTCCCTTGGCCCGAGATGACTTCCCTGCTCGGTTGCTGAAGGAGGCAGTGAGTGGGAGATAATGGACTCCAGGTCACCGGACCAAGCACCCCGCGGCCAGGCGACGTTACCAGGCTCAATTCATTCCTCGTGGGCTATTTTTTCCCGTTTACAGATGGGGAACGGGAGCCCCAGGGAATGCTGCTCTTCCTAGAGAAAGAGCAAAGAATCCCCCAAGGACTCCCGCGCAGGACTTGAGCCCTGAATGCCTCCCGCCCAGGTGCCCAGAGGGCAGGGGCTGATGATGTCCTTTCCCAGAAACTCCGGGGAAACAGTAGATCCAGATACTAGTTGGGGCGAGCGGCTGAAGCTCAGCGGTTTTCCCTTTGGCGCCCACAAAACCCTGAAGTGAAACCTCGACCTGTGGGACAATGAGCGCCCGGGGACTTTGAGTGCTTGAAGCAGGCTGCGTGGCCTTGGGCAAATGGCAGGCCCCCTCTAAGTCTGTTTCCCTACTGGTCCACCGCTGGCATGGACAGGCAGGGGTCAGGGAAAAGTTCCAAAGGAAGCGGGGGTGGGGTGGGGGGGGGAGTGGAGTTTGGGAGAGGACCCCGCGCCCCCGCCCCCAGCAGACACCACGTGGCCTTTCCCAGCTTGTTTGCCCCAGACCCGAAAGGGTGCGGGTCCGGCCGCCTCCAGGTCTGGGGCGGAGCCACTCTGACCCCTGAGCCCAATAAATCCGCAGCCCACAACCTGGAACTGTTTCTTTAAGCCCCACCGCGACCTCCCGCTGTCAGCGGGGCGCAGCGCCCGGGGAGGGGGTCCGACTGGCCAGCTGCTCGCACGCAGCTGGGTCGGGCAGCTGGCCCCAGAGTGCGGGGTGAAGTGGACAGATAGACGGAGGCGCAGAGGGACAAACCGCGAGGACCCGCAGATCCCCGGCCCAGGGAGCCCCTGCCCCTCCTGCTGCTGTCACCCCACACGGAGGGGGACAGGCTGGGACTCCCCTATAGGCCCCCTGCATCCTCCACCGCCCACACCGCTGCAGCCTCCTGGCCGAGGACACCGGTGGCCGTCGCACCTGCCCTCATGGAGGTCACTGAGGCAGCAGCGCGGGCCACGTTCGGAGCCTGGGACTACGGGGTCTTCGCCCTCATGCTGCTCGTGTCCACCGGCATCGGGCTCTGGGTCGGGCTGGCTCGGGGCGGGCAGCGCAGCGCCGAGGACTTCTTCACCGGGGGCCGCAGCCTGACGGCCCTGCCTGTGGGCCTGTCCCTGGCCGCCAGCTTCATGTCGGCCGTGCAGGTGCTGGGCGTGCCCGCCGAGGCCTACCGCTACGGCCTCAAGTTCCTCTGGATGTGCCTGGGCCAGACGCTCAACTCGCTGCTCACCGCGCTGCTCTTCATGCCCGTCTTCTACCGCCTCGGCCTCACCAGCACCTACCAGGTACCCGGAGGGGACCTGCCTGTCTGGGAACCCGGGACCCGGGCTGGAGGCCCTGGGCTGCGAACTACTGTGCAGCGGGAGGCAGATCCGCTCCTGGCGCTTGGTGGGGCCCCGGGCAGACCTGCAGGAGGGTTCTGGGAAGAGCCCCAGGCAGTGGGGCGAGGGGCAGGAAGGAGGAAGCGAAGAGGGTGTCCTGGTTCCTTGGTGCGGGCGCACGAGGGCGGTGCAGCCTCAGCCCGAAGTGTACTCGAGTGTGAGCAGGCACACACCTGTCCCCAACGTGTCCCGCACTTTCATACTTATGCACTCTAGAGGGGCGACCCCCTGCTCTGGGTCCAAAATCCAGCTTAACTCTTGACCTCTACCTTGAGCAAGGGCGCTTCTCTGCTCGGGCTTTCTACCTGTCCCAGGTGAGCCGTTGATATGATTCCCCCCGCCCCCCGCCCCGGGACGGAGAGTAAAGCGGTAATCGTGTCCGGTATTCAGTAGCCTCCAATGCCATTGGCCACCCGGCACTGCATTGTGCTTTGTCGCACTTCGCTGTAAGGGCGACCCCGGCGGTCAGACATGAGTGGGAGGACAGGTGTGCAAGTATGGATCGCTCCTCCAGGGCACACGTCCTGTGCAAGGCACCGAGATGGCACGAGTGCGCGGACAGATCCGGGTGTGCGCGGGGCGCTGGGGCAAAAGTAGGGCCAGCGCAGTTCGCCTCCGGAGGGAGGGTCCAAACCGAGAGGCCGGGCAGGGACCCCAGATTCCTCGGGACTGTCCCGGTGACCACAAGCCCTCGGCTCCTTTTTTTGTAGTACCTGGAGCTGCGATTCAGCCGCGTGGTACGGCTCTGCGGGACGGTGCAGTACCTGGTGGCTACAGTGAGTGGCCTCCGCCCGCCTTCAACCCAGCGACCCCGTAGGCTCCAACCTTAGCGCCTTAGCGCGCACAGCCGGTCCCCAGCCCCTCGGACTCACCCCAATCCAGCGCAGCCTCAGGCCCCGCCCACATAGCGACTTAGCTCCGCCTCGTAGGCCCCTCCCACCCACCGACAGGACCCCGCCCGCACCCCGCCCAGGCCGGTCCCGCCCCCGCCCTGCCTCACCCGCCCGCCTTCTGCCTGCAGGTGCTCTACACCGGCATCGTGATCTACGCACCTGCGCTCATCCTGAACCAAGGTCGCCTGGGAGATCGGGGAGGGGGGTCCCGGCGGAGAAGGCTAGCCAGGAAGAGGGGGAGGGAGAGGAGGGCCGAAGACTCCGAGGGCCACTTTGCTCCCCGCAGGGACGACTAATTTGGGGGATGTCTAATTTGCACAGTGACCGGGCTGGACATCTGGGCGTCACTCCTGTCTACCGGAATTATCTGCACCTTCTACACGACTGTGGTGAGTGTCCCCGATGGGGGGGGACGCGGGGGCTTCATGCCCACTGGGTCTTCTGTGGGGAGATTTGGGGTCCGCCAGCTCATCTCTGACCTGCTATCTCCCGGTCCTAGTTGGGTCTCGGTTTTCTCTTCTTTCTAATGAAACGTGATCTGAAAAGCTCATTGCTGAGAACCCAGGAATAGGCTAGCTTCAGGCGTGGCTGAATCAGGGCCTCCGACGGGGTCCCTCTCCCACTTCTCTGGGCTCCATCAGGTCCAGGCTCCCACCTCTTCTGGCTTCCTGCCCAGAAGGGTCCTTTCAGCACCCGCCTCTCCAGCCTCTGGCTCACCGTGGTCCCAGGTCCCGACTGAAACATTCCAGGCAGCTTGAGGGTCTGGGGCGCTCTGATTGGCTATTCTTGAAGCTGCCCTGCAAAGAAAAATCAGGGACTTCTAAGCCACCAGGTTGGCTGGGTAAGAAGTAACTAATAATGACTGGGCCCAGTGGAGTCGGCCTGTGATCCCAGCGGCTCTGGAGGCTGAGGCAGGAGGATGTCAAGTTCAAAGCCAGCCTCAGCAACTTAGCGAGGCCCTAAGCAACTCAGTGAGACCCTGTCTCTAAATAAAATACAAACAAAGGCTGGGGATGTGGCTCAGTGGTTGAGTGCCCCTGGGTTCCATCCCCAGTACCAATAATAATAATAATTAGTAATGACAGTAGAGTCATGGGCATAGTCATGCAGTAATCGCTCACTGAGTCCCTGAGTTCCAGGTGCTCTTCTGAGTCTTTTTCACTTATTAACTTATTTAGATCTCACAAACAGAAGCATTATTAACCCTACTGTATTTTTAAAAATATTTTTTTAGTCGTCAATGGACCTTTGTTTTGTTTATTTGTATGTGGTGCTGAGAATTGAACCCAGGGCCTCACACATGCCAGGCAAGCGCTCCGCCACTGAGCCCCAGCCCAGCCCTATTAACCCTATTTTATTGATGAAGAAACTAAGGCAGAGAGACACATTGGTCCCCAAGTCAGACGGGGCCAGCCACGGTCAGGCGCCCAGCTGACCCCTCTCTGCCCCTCCTGCAGGGCGGCATGAAGGCTGTGATTTGGACGGATGTGTTCCAGGTGGTGGTGATGCTCGCTGGCTTCTGGGCCATCCTGGCCCGTGGCACCGTGCTCATGGGAGGGCCCTGGCGTGTGCTCAGGCTCGCTCAGAATCACTCGAGGATCAACCTGTTGGAGTGAGTTAACTGTAAAGCAGGACACCCCCTTTGTGCCCCGGGGGACCAGCCAATGCTGCCTGCTCCAGGAAGCCTCTCTGCCCCTTCCCCAGCTCCCTGCAGACTGAGCCCTGCCTCTGCCACCCTGCACCCCTCCAGCCCCATCCCTCCTTCTGGCCAGGACTGGCTCTGGGGGATGGAGAGGCAGGTCTACATCCAGCTCTGTCCCTTGTGCCCAGGCCAGCCTGGACACTGAAGCCTCCTGGATCTCCCAGCTGGACAAAGAAAGGATGATTTTTTTTTTTTTTTTGAACCAAGGATGGAACTCAGGGGCACTTAACCCCTGAGCCACGTCCCCGGTCCTTTTAATATTTTATTTAGAGACAAGGTCTCGCTGAGTTGCTTAGGGCTTCGCTAAGTTGCTGAGGCTGGCTTTGAACTTGCCATCCTCCCGCCTCAGCCTCCAGAGCCTCTGGGATTACAGGCCTGCGCCTCCACACCCAACAGCAAAGGAAGGATCTATTTTTCTCTTTTCTTCTTCTTTCCGTGCTGGGGATGGAAGCTAGGGCTTATGCATGGTGGGCAAGCGCCTTAGCACCGAGCTGCATCCCCAGCCCAGACAGAGTGTCTTCTGAATGCTTCCGGAGGTGACTCGGAATAAAGAGTGCATTCAATCAGACAAACTGCTCTCACACTGAGGGCCTGCCGCAGAGGCTCTCCGAGGGCCCAGGACATCCAGGATGGCCATCTGGGGTCCTGGGGAAGGTGAGGTCAATGTGACATGTGCACATGGCTGACCCGCCCTGTCCTTACCAGTTTCGACCCTGATCCTCGCAGCCGCTACACGTTCTGGACGTTCGTGGTGGGCGGCACGCTGGTGTGGCTCTCCGTGTACGGCGTGAACCAGGCCCAGGTGCAGCGCTACGTCGCCTGCCGCACGGAGAGGCAGGCCAAGCTGTGAGTGCGGGGGCCCGGGAGGCCTCCGGGCCGCGGCCCCCTTCCCTGGCCTGAGCTGCCCCTCCCCCCAGGGCCCTCCTCATCAACCAGCTGGGCCTGGTCCTGATCGTGTCCAGTGCGGCCTTCTGCGGCATCCTCATGTTTGTGTTCTACAGCAGCTGTGACCCCCTCCTCACAGGGCGTATCTCTGCTCCAGATCAAGTGAGTCCCACTGAGCCCCCCCGCCCTTGGCAGTCCTAAGCCCCACTTCTCAATCTTGGGGGATGGAGCTAGAAGAGCCTTCCTGGCAGAAAAAACAACCTGTGCAAAGGCCCAGAGGCAGGAAACAGCTCAGAGGAGGATGTAGGATAAGGGGGAGATGAGTCCGGGAGGCAATGGGAAGCCCGACGAGCAGGGGAGGGGAACATTCATATTGAGAGTCCCAGAGACCCCCTAGGGGACATCAAGGAGGAGATGGAGCTGGGTATAGTGGCAAACAACTGTAATCCCAGCTACTCAGGAGGCTGAGGCAGGAGGATCACAAGTTTGAGGCCAACCTTGGCAATTTCGTAACCTTGACCCCCAGCAACTTAGCAAGATCCTGTCTAAGAGTAAAAAATAAAAAGGGTTAGGGTTGTAGGTCAAATGCCCCTGGGTTCAATCCCCAATTTAAAAAAAAAAAAAAAAAAGGAGGATATGGGAATGTGATCCAGCATGAAGTGGTGTTGACACTGATGTCCCAAGCACCTGCTGTTCCTCATGCTGTTCCCTTCACAAGCCGTCAGCGAGCCCTTAGCTCTTCCGGAGTGGAGAGGGCGAGGCTGCCGCAGCTCTCCTCTACAAAGGAGGAGACTGGGGCTCCGAGGGGAAGAATGCACCTGAGGTTAGCAGGAGGCTGGGCAGCTCTGGGACCAGGTCCCCTTCTTGGGTGGCACCCCCGCTGGAGCTTAAGCCATGGGGTTCCGAGTTGGCAGAGGTCACAAGGCTATCCCATCTGCTGTCCCGCCAACGGGGTCAGATCCTAGGCCCCATAATGGTGCCACTCTGGCCCCACAGTCCTCGTGAGTAAAATGTTGATGGCAGGGGACCCTGTGTCACTGGGCACACAGTGGGGCTCAGGGACAGTTCTCAGATCTACATTGTCACTCTGAGTCCCGTGTGTCCTGGGCAGTGGGGACATGCAGGGTCAGGACAGAGAGGAGGCTTCCCCTGGGACGCTGCTGTCCTAGAGGGTGACCCCGGCTCCTCCTCCCCCAGTACATGCCCCTGTTCGTGCTGGACATCTTCAAGGACCTGCCTGGAGTCCCCGGGCTCTTCCTTGCCTGTGCCTACAGTGGCACCCTCAGGTGAGCCTCCGACTTGCTCAGCAGCCACATCTAAGTCCCCAAGGGCCTCCTCGCTCTTGATGTCTCCCCGGGGCTGGAATATGCTGGAACATCCACCCATTCACAGTTCCTGCCCACTGCCCTGATGGCAGCCAGTGTGGGCTCTGAGCACAGGGACCCCAGCTCCAGCAGGGACACTGCCCTCTTCCTCTGCCTTCCTTCTCAAATGAGTGTTTATTGAGCACCTATTATGAGGCAAGTGTTGCTGTCCTGCATCCTGACCATGCTGACCCCACCCCTGCCCTCTGGGGCTACCCACACTGGTGGTTTTACACATGCCTTCAGTCTCCCTGGTGCAACCAGCCTTTCTGTCTCATGTGACCTTGGTCACAGTACCCTTGCTCTCCTGGGAGTATCTCCTGTCTCAGGAGCAGGACAGGACTGCAGGGCTCCTCCACTCCCTGGGGACTCTGGTCACCCCCACCTCAGCTTCCTGATGGGCGGCGTCTTGGCAGCCTAGCTGGACTTGGTAGCTGAGTGGCTGGTGCAACAGGTGGACCCCAGAGCGGGGGTGACAAGCCCTACCTGCCGACCCCTCTCCCATTTCCCCCCCTCGCAGCACGGCGTCCACCAGCATCAATGCCATGGCCGCGGTCACCGTGGAGGACCTCATCAAGCCCCGGAAGCCCAACCTGGCGACCCGGAAACTCATGCTGATCTCCAAGGGACTCTGTGAGTTGGGGCACCTCGGGCACGGGAGCGGGGCGGTGCCTCCCACTGACGGGCCACCCCGTGTCCCCTGCAGCGCTCATCTACGGCTCAGTCTGTCTCACGGTGGCGGCTCTGTCCTCGCTGCTGGGGGGTGGTGTCCTCCAGGTGAGCTCTGCACCCCACCCCGTCTGATCTCCCCAAGACGTGGGGCATCGTCCCGGCCCAACTGAGGCTCAGAGAGGGTCGCCGACGTCGCGCAGAACTGGATAGGACGCTTCCTGCGGCGAGGGGACAAGGGAGGTGGGGGGCTTTGTCCTGGGGACTGAAAGGACTTCCCTGCCTTGGAGAAAGACTCTTTGTCACCTTGTCACCGTTCCGAGAAGTGGGAGGAGGGGTTCCCCTTCCTTTGGGACGCTGGAGCCCCAGGTGGAACCCCTGGGTCCTGCCTTCCCAGTGGGTGACCTGAGGACGGCTCTGCCCTCAGCCCTGCCCCCCTTACTCTCACAGGGGTCCTTCACGGTCATGGGTGTCATCAGCGGCCCCCTGCTAGGGGCCTTCGTGCTGGGGATGTTCCTGCCTGCCTGCAACACGCTGGTGAGTGGGGAGGGCGGGGGAGGGCCTGGGGGCGTGGCCTGGCAGCCCCCTTCGCTGACGCTGGCTCCGCCTCCAGGGCGTCCTCTCTGGCCTAGTCATGGGCTTGGCGCTCTCGCTGTGGGTGGCCATGGGCGCCACGCTCTACCCGCCCAGCGCCCAGATCATGGGAGTCCTGCCATCATCCACTTACGGCTGTGGGACTCTCTCAGCCAACGCCTCTGATCTTCTGGAGCTGACCCTCACCACCAACGCCTCCAGCAGGACTTCCAGGTGAGCAGGCTGGTCTGGGAGGTGGCAGACACTTGGCCTGAGCGTGCGCGGTCAGGGAGGAATCCTGAACCCTGAGGAAGAAGGAGCGAGGCTCGGGGAACAGTGTTCCTGGAGGACAGAGGAGCAAGTGCAAAGACCCTGAGGCTCGTTTCAGCTTGCTGCAGCCCAGGTGCAGAGAGGAGGGAAGGTAGGAGACATGCAGGGAGAGGAGTTCAACTGGATTCTAGTTTTTAAAATTGAGATAGGAGTCACATACCACAGATTGGATTAAAAGGGGATCTGGTCGTACATGGATAAAATTTATGCGGCCATCGGCACCATCTAACAAAGAAGATTTTCATCAACTCAGAGAGAAGCCCTATCCCATGAGCAGTCCCTTTCCATTTTCCTCTCATCCCCAGCCTCTGGCAAACCACAATTCCTCTTTCTCTTGCTACGGATTTGCCTCTTGTGGACATTTCATGTAGCTGGAATCGAAATTGGACAAAGTGACCTTTTTGGCCTCAGCCTAGTTCGAGGCTCAGCCAGGCTGACTCCATTCCTTCCTGTGGCCGAGTACATCTGCAGTGGGGGTGGCCGCACGTTTGGTTAATCTGCTCATCTGCTGATGGACGCGGGTTGTCCACTCCTTGGGATCATGAACCGCTGTAAACATCTGCGCATGAGCGTTGGTGTGAAATGTGTTTTCCTGTCTCTTGGTGTATCCCTGGGTGTGGAAATGCTGGGTCATACGGTAATTCTGTTTAATTACACTCCCACCAGCCGCAGGCCAGGGGCCCAACTTCTCCACATCCTCTCCATTGCTGTTTCTTAAAGAAAAAAAAAAAAACCTAGACCTCCTAGAGGGTGGAGGGCCTCTCCTTGGGGGTTGATTTACATTTCCCCATAGTGATACTGGCCACAGCCCCAGCAGTCCTTTGTCTTTCTGTTGTTGAGTTTTAATTTACATCATCTATATATGTCTATATATTCTGGGTACTAGACCCTTATCAGATGTGTGATTCTGCAAATATTTTCTCACCTTCTATAATTGATCTTTTTATTCTCTTGACAGTGTTCTTTGTTTGTTTGTTTGTTTAGTTGTAGGGCTGGGGTGGTGGCTCCGTGGTGGAGCGCTTGCCTAGCATGTGTGAGACACTGGGTTTGATTCTCAGCACCAAATAAAATAAAATAAAATTAAGGTTAAAAAATGCATTTTTTTTTTAGTTGTAGATGGACTCAATATCTTTGCTTTATTTATTTATTTATTTATTTTGAACGTGGTGCTGAGGACGGAACCCAGGGCCTCACGCATGGCAAGTGCTGAGCCACGGAGCTACAACCCAGTCCTTGACAGTCTTCTTCTTTTTTTATTTCTTTCTTTTTTTTTTTTTTTTTTTTTGGTTCCAGGGATTGAACTCAGGGGCCCTCAACCACTGAGCACACCCCCAGCCCTATTTTGTATTTCATTCAGAGACAGGGTCTCACTGAGTTGCTTAGTGCCACACAGTTGCTGAGGCTGGCTTTGAACTCTTTTTTTTTTTTTTTTTTTTTTAGAGAGAGAGAGAGAAAATTTTTTTAATATTTATTTTTAGTTCTCGGCGGACACAACATCTTTGTTTGTATGTGGTGCTGAGGATCGAACCCGGGCTGCACCCATACCAGGCGAGCGCGCTACCGCTTGAGCCACATCCCCAGCCCTGGCTTTGAACTCTTGATCCTTCTGTCTCAGCCTCCCAAACCACTAGGATGACAGGCGTGTACCACCGCACCCAGCTCTTGACAGTGTTCTTTGATACAAAGAAAATTTTAATTTGCATTTTCCTTCTTATTAGAATTATTTGTTTATGTATTTATGTTTACTTTGCGGTGGTGCTAAGGATCAAACCCAGGACCTTGAGCTTGCTAAGTGCCAGCTGAACTGCAGAGCGATAGCCCCAGCCGAAAAGCTGTTATTTATTTATTGGTACCAGGGATTGAATCCAAGGGGCTGAGCCGCATCCCTAGCCCTTTTTTAATTTGGTTTTGAGACAGGGTCTCGCTGAGTTGCTTAGGGCCTTGCTAAGTTGCCATCCTCCTGCTTCAGCCTCCTGAGCTGCTGGGATTACTGGGGGGCCCCACCATGCCCGGGGAAAGTTCTTAGTTTTGATGAAGTCCAATTCATCTTTTTCCCCCCTTAGCTTCTGCCTGATTTGTCCCGTTTAGGAGCCCAGTGCCTACACCATCCTCATGGATCTATGTGTACATTTTCTTCCAAGGGTTTAATTTGGTTTGATTCTGAGGTCAATAGGGAGCCATGGATGGTGACGGGCAGCGGCAGGAGAGGCCCGGGTCTCCTGCTGAGCGGGGCGGGGCCTGGGAGTGGGTCCCTGGGAGCAGCGCTGGCTGCTGAGGACATCCAGTGAGCGCTGAGGGGTCCTCCGGGCCAGGCTGTGGCCGTGGAGGTGGAGAGCAGCGGGAGGCCTGGGAGGGCTCTGGGAGGGACACAGGTGTGCGACGGGAGGCTCCTGCCCACGCTTCCCACCTCCAGCTCCAGGGTGGCCCCGGGCAGGCCGGCTCTAGCTGACAGCTTCTACGCCATCTCCTACCTGTACTACGGCGCCCTGGGCACGCTGACCACCATGCTGGGCGGGGCCCTGGTCAGCTACCTGAGCGGTAAGCGGGCCCGCCACCTAGGGCCACCTGGGTCATCTGGGTCATCCCTGCCTCAGGGCCCCTCCCAGCAGGGAGAGGAAGAAGGGAGTCTGCAGGCTTGACACTGGGACCCCTGTGCTGCACCTCGGGGACAGTCCCCACCTCCGAGGCTGGCCCTACTGCAGAAGCAGGAACCAGCTGTCCCCTCTCCACACAAGTCCCCGCTGTAGGCGAGGGAGGGGGCGCGGGCGCTGTCCCTGGTGCTGAAACGCCTTTTCTCTCTGCGACGCGGTGACTCCGCGCGGATTTCTGACTCCCACAGAGAATAGAAAGAAGCCAAGAGAGGTGAATAGCGACAGAGTGGCAGTCCCACTCCCTGAGTGGCAGACTTCCAGTCCCTAGGCCTCGCTGAGCCTCCTTGTGCCAGGTGCCATTCGAGACACCTGGATGCTGCCCTGGGCGACACACAGGCTGGCACCGCCCCGCCCCGGCCAGCAACCGTGCAGACAGGAGACGGGCTCAGAAAGGGGCAGAGCTGCTGGGGCTGGGACTAGAGCCACCTCACGCTGGCCCCAGGCCCTCCCCTGCACCCCCAGGCCCCATCCCAGCCCCCACTGCCTCCTCACTAATGGCCTCAATTCCCCGCCCCCAGGCCCCACCAAGCGCAGCACCCTGGGCCCTGGGCTGCTCTGGTGGGACCTTGCTCGACAGACGGCGTCAGTGGCCCCCAAGGAGGAGATCACTGCCCTGGACGACACATTGGTGAAGGTCAGTCTCAGGCTGGGCTTGCACAGCAAGGGAAGGCCTGGTGGTTCTGGGAACTTGGGGGGTGGCATAACTCAGGGGGGGATGTGGTGAGTCCCCATCTGTCCCTGCCTGTCTTCCCTCCTGTGGACAGGCTCAGGTGGACGCAGGGTCATCCTCAACAGAATGCAGTGTTTCCTGTCACAGGAGCAAGCGGGGCTCAATACTGTTTACTTTTCTCACATCTGTGTTGTTTTTTTTTGTACTGGGGATTGAACCCAGGGGCATGTAACCACTGAGCCCATCTGCCACGTCCCCAGCCACATCCCCAGCACTTTTTAATATTTTATTTAGAGACAGGGTCTCACTGAGTTGCTTAGGGTCTTGCTAAGTTGCTGAGACTGGCCTCAAACTTGTGATCCTCCTGCCTCAGCCTCCCCAGTCTCTGGGATCACAGGTGTGTGCGCGGTGACCAGCTTGTATCTGTTTTTTTTATGATGACTTCCTACCTCTGGCAGGGCCAAGAGATTTGCTCTTAGGATATTTATATATAATCTCTTAAGATAAAATGACTTAATTCAAAAATGAGCCAACTCAGAAAAATCTTACATAAGACACACGATGGGGGTAGATGGCCGTTGGCCAGCACCATGTGATTGCTGTGGGAGCAGATGAAATCTACAAAAAGAAACAAGTTGGGTCCCAGCAGGCAGTGGGGGCTAAGATAACAAAGCGGGGTGCTGTGGTGGGGCGCATCTGCAGCCAGAAAAGTCAGGTCGGTGTTCTGGAAGAGGTAGGTCCGGCCGCCCATGAGGAGGAGCCAGCCCTAGGGAAGGACACGGGAGGTCACAGCGGGTGCACCAGCCCCAGCAGAGACAGGCCTGCTGGGGAGGGAATGGTTTGGCCCGAGTGTTTTAAAGTTCCCTCCAGCTGCTGTGGGAAAATATTTTTTTCTCAAAGGGAAATAGAAAGGCAGAGGTGGGAGGGAGCTACGGTGTCTGAGCTAGTATCAGAGGCCTGAACTGTAGGTGGCCTAGGCACAGAGAAGAGAGGTTCTGCAGACAGAGGGGACAGGCCTAGACAAAGTACTGGACAAGGAGATACTGTGTGACCCTGCACACTGCTGGTCCTCCAAGGTCATCAGGATCCCCACCTGGGGACAGGATCTCTGATGGGGTCTTTCTTCTCCCCTACCCTCAGGGTCCTGAAGAAATCCTTCCTGGAACCAAAAAGCCCCCTGGATCCCTGCCCAACGATGAGGACCATCCGCTCTTCCTGGGGCAGGAGATGGAAGGGACCCCTGGCCCTGGACACGTTGGTGGCCATGACCATGGAGAGACGAACCTCTGAAGGCAGGGCCGGCCTGGCCCAACCACCTGGGGTGGAATCTCAGGATGGACCAATCCCAGGCCACCAGCCAACAGGCCCGGCCTCTGACTGGCTGGAGGGCATGAGATGCAAATAAGCCTGGGGCTGCGCGGCCCAAGGCCCCGCCTCCAGGAGGTCGGCCCCGCCTCCAGGTGGTGGTTTCCCGGATTCGGCTCTAGTCCTAGAGGCTGCCCTCCCTCCCGCTCCTGCCCCTCAAAATGAGACCGGGGTTTTCTCTGTCCACAAAGAGAAAGCTGTTGGTGGCCCTTCTGGACAGCATGGAAAACCCGCAGACCCAACACCAGGGCCTGAGAAAGACCCCACCTTCCCCTGGAATGTGTTCAACCTTGGCGAGGATCTTGGAGGAATTCAGGCCTGACCTCCTGTGCTCCATTAATCAGGCGGGACAGGGGGCCCAGAGAGGGGTAGCCCCTGACCAAAGTCACACAGAAAAGCAGGTGCTCACCCGGAGCTGGAGACCAGCTCTTCCTCCTCCGCCTCTCTGCATTTTCCCTCCCAGGGTGGGCGGGGAGAGTCAGATATCACCTGGCCTCCAACCTTTGCCCAAACACCTAGCCTTTGCCCATATATGGCTCCCTTGACCCTCAGGGGAATGTTTCCTGCTCACGGGGCAATGGAGACCCCCAACAGGTTTTGGTAGCATCCCTCCCAATTCATTTAGAACCTTAGAAAGTGAACTTCCTTGGAAACAGGGTCTTTGTGGGTATAATTAGCTAATTTGAGATGGGTAGGTGAATAGTCCGTAGGAATAGGGTGAACCCTGAATCCAGGGCCTAGTGTCCTTAGAAGAAGTGGAGAGACCCAGAAACACAGAAGGCAGAAGGCCACAGAAAGACAGATGGAGATTAACATGACGCTTCCACAGCTGAGGCTCTCCTGCAGCCAGCAGAAGCCCGGAGAGAGGCCTGATATGGATTCTTTCTTACAGCCCTCAGGGGGGGTGTGGTGCGATAGACATCTTGATTTTAGACTTGTAGCCTCCAGACTAGTCAAGAATATATTTCTGCTTTTTTCTTCTACCTGGTCTATGATAATTTGTTACAGCAGCTACAGGAAGCTCATACACACCACCTGATCTAGCTATGCAAGCTGTGTTGATGGAATACCTTTAGATTTGAACTTAGAACTGACCATCGCAACTTTAAAATCAATGACTGGATAATTGGGGAACTAGACCTTCCACCTGTTCATGGTCCTCACTTAGAAGAGTCTGGGACAGGAAGAGGCATGAAGGACAGGGATGGGCTGAGGTTCCCCTGAGGGCAGAACAAGATGATCTAGCAGCTGTTTCAATATTTCTTCACATTGTTGTGTGTATCAATATTTCATCCTTTTTTATTGCTGAGTAGTATTCCATTGTGCAGATGGACCCACAGTGTGTCATTCATTTTTCAGTGAATGGGCATCTGAATTGTTTCCAGCTTTTGGCTATTACAAATAAAACTGCTATGAACATTCATGTACAAGTCTTGTGTGGACATAATACCCAGGCCTCTGTATCTGTGGATTCAACCAACCACAGGTCGAAAAAATTTTTTTTAATTGCATCTTTACTAAATGTGCATGAACTTTTTTTCTTGTTATGATTGTCTAAACAATACAGCCTACTGTTTATATGTACATATATGTACAAATATGTACACAGCACTTACATTGCATTAGTTATTACAGGTGTTATGGTGAGATTGCAATAAATCACTGAGTCAATCTTAAATCAGGAGATGGAAACTTTATTCACCAGATAGCGGTCTGGATCCACCAGCTGGTGGGGTAAGGGGCAGGCTGCCAGTCTACACCCTTCCACCCCCTCAAGGGTAGAGTGAATATTTATAGTCCCAAACCACATTAATTGTAAGTGGCTGTTGCTATGACTCAAAACCATAAACAAACGTCAGGAGATATAAAATCATGAGCAGAAGGGAAAGTGGGTTAAAAATGATCTGGGTTGAGTACAAGTTAAAGAACAATCAATCTCTGACAGCGTACATTGTCCAAGAAAAATGGGAACCAAAGAGAGAACAATTTTACATTGTATAAGAATTGCCATTTTGTGTTGCCAAACATGCTGTCATTCTATGCTAAGCAACTGCTGATGGGCTCGGAGGCGGGGCTTTCCCATGGGAGAAGCCTGTCTTCCATGAAGTGGAGTCTCAGGGTAAGATGGCGTCAGTTTGGTCATTGCCCACATAGCCTGGCCCAAACACAAGAAATTTGAAAATCTATGGCAGTAAGCATGGAAGTTCTGTGCAAATACATCATTTCACAAAAGGGACCTGAACACTGCAGATTTTCATATTCTTTTTTTAAAAATATTTTCTTAGTTGTCAATGGACTTTATTTATATGGGGTGCTGAGAATTGAACCCAGTGCCTCACACATGCTAAGCAAGTGCTCTACCACTGAGCCATAACCCCAGCCCTTTTTTTATATTTTATTTAGAGACAGGGTCTCACTGAGTTGCTTAGGGCCTCACTTTTGCTGAGGCTGGCTTTGAACTCAAGATCCTCCTGCCTCAACCTCTCAAGCTGCTGGGATTATAGGTAGGTGCCACTGCACCTAACTCCTAGCTCTACTTATGTTTTATTTTGAGGTAGGGTCGGGCTAAATTGCCTGGGCAGGCCTTGAATTTGTGAACCTCCTACCTCAGCCTTCCCAGTAGCTAAAATTATATGTATGCACTATTACACTCGGCTCTGGCTTTTATTGATGACTTAAGAATTTTTAAAATATATATTCTAGGCACTGGAGGTGCAGCTCTGTGGTAGAGTGTTTGCCTAGCATGTGTGAGGCCCTGGGTTCAATTCCCAGCATTGAAAAAAATAAATGTATGTTTTTATATATATATACATTTATACATACATTTATTAATATATTTATTATTGTTTTCTCTTTGGTCCCAGTTTTTCTTGGACAATGTACCCTCTCAGAGTTTGATTGTCTTTAGATGTTAGTAACCATTCTTTAATAAAATGTATATTATTAATATATATATTTATGCAGATAATCTGCCATTCTGTGTCTTTTAACTTTCTTGGTTGTTTCTTTAACTTTTATAAAGTCCAACCTATCTGTTGTTCTCTTTCATTGTCTGTGTTTTTTGTTCTATCTAAGAAATCATTATCAAATCCAAGGTCATTAAATTTCTCCTAAGAATTCTATAGTCTTGGCTCTTATGTTAGGTCTTTGATTCATTTGGAGGTAATTTTTATATATATACGCCTCCCGATCCATGAACATGGTATGTCTTTCCATTTATCTCTTTCTTTCAGCAATGTATTATAGTTTTCTCTTTTTAGGCTAAGCTCATTCCTAAGTATTTTGTTCTTTTTGAGGATACTGTAAATAGAAAATTGTTTCTCAATTTCCTTTTCAGATTATTTGTTATTAGTGTATAGAAACGCAATACCTGTTGATTTTGTACCCAATAAATTTGCTTATTCTACCAGGTTCTTTCTATTTTTTTTTTTTTTGGCAGAATCTTTTTTAAAAAAAATATTTTATTTTTTAGTTGTAGTTGGCCAAGGCTCACTCAGTTCAGGTCAAATGTCACACAATATCTTTATTTTATTTATTTATATTTATGTGGTGCTGAGGATCGAACCCAGGCCTCACACGAGCTAGACGAGCGCTCTACCGCTACGCCACAACCTCAGCCCCTTGGTAGAATCTTTTTTTTTTTTTAATATTTATTTTTTAGTCTTTTTGGCGGACACAACATCTTTGTTTGTATGTGGTGCTGAGGATCGAACCCAGGCCGCACACATGCCAGGCGAGCGAGCTACCGCTTGAGCCACATCCCCAGCCCCCCCTTGGTAGAATCTTAAGGAAAACATGTCATCAAGGCTCAGGATGTGGCTCAGTGGCAGAACACTTGCCTAGAATGTATGAGTCCCTAAGTTTCATTCCCATTACTTACAAAAAATTCATGTTTCCTGAAAACAATTTTATTTCTTTCTTTCCAATTTAGATGTCTTTTATTTCTTTTTCATGCTAATTCCTTTGGCTAGATTTTTTTTTCCACCAGTGTCTGAACTCAGAGGCTCTTAATCACTAAGCTTTTTATTTTGAGACAGGGTCTCACTAAGTTGCTTAGGGCCTCACTAACTTGCTGAGGCTGGCTTTGAACTTGCAATTGTCCTGGCTCAGCTGAGATTACAGGTGTGAGCCACTACACTTGGCTCAGTAGTTTCTTTCTATTTCCAGTTTGGTGAGTGTTTTTTTAATCAGGAATTCGTGCTGAGTTTTGTCTAATGTTTTTCTCTACATTAGTTGAGATGGTCATGTGTCCCCATTCATTCTGTTAATCTGTACACTTCTTTGACAGAGTATCATAGGTTGAGTCATTCTTGCATTCCAACAATAACTGCTACTTGGTCACATTGTACAATCCTCATTTGTTTTGTTTTTGCAGTGCCTGGAATGGAACCCAGGGCCTTGATTGTGCTAGGTAAGCACCTCACCACTAAGCCACATCTGCAGCTCTGTTTGAAGTTTCTGATGTGCTGCTGAATTTGATTTGCTAGCATTTTGTTGAGGTTTTTGCAACAATATTCATAGAGCAAGTTGGTCTATCACTTTGGTTTTTATTGTTACTATTGTTGTTTTATAATGCACTTGTCAGCTTAATCAGAGTAGTGCAAAGTTTTTTTTTTTTTTAAGGTGAATGCTTTTTTGTGTTTAATCTAAAAAATTGTGTGTGTGTGTGTGTGTGTTGTGTGTATGTGTCCTGCGGATGGAATCCCAGATCTTGAGCCTGCTAGGCAATTTTTCTACACCCAACATTCAATCTAAGAAATCTTTCCCTAATCCAATATCACTAACACATTCCTCTGTATTTTCTTCTAGAAGCTGTTATGTTAAGAGTTAAACTTTTTGTATGGTGTGCGGTAGGGAACCAATGGATATCCAGTTGATTTAGTCCATTTGTTGAAAAGAATTTTCTTTCCAATCCCAATTGAATTTCCTTGGCACCTGTGTCAAAATTCCAGTGGTAAGAATATGTGTGGAGCCGGGTGCGGTGGCGCACACCTGTAATCCCAGCAGCTTGGGAGGCTGAGGCAGGAGGATGGCAAGTTCAAAGCCAGCCTCAGCAATAGTGAGGTGCTTAGCAACTCAGTGGGATCCTGTCTCTAAATCAAATACAAAGTAGGGCTGGGGATGTTGCTCAGTGGTTGAGTGCCCCTGAGTTCAATCCCCAGTATTAAAAAAAAAAAAAAAAGAACATGTGTGGAGTTATTTCTGGATTCCCTATGTTGGTGCACTGGTGTATTTCTCCATGCCAGAGTTTCTGATCCTCAGCACTACTGACATTTCAGCCAGATCATTCTTTGTGACCTTCCATTTATCATGACCAAACTTGTCTCCAAACATTGCCAATGTCCCATGGGTGAAGAATTGTCCCTGGATGATGGTGCTGGAGATCCAACCCAAGACCTTTGTCGAGAGCTCTCTGTGAACTGTGCATGAACCAAACTGGCACTGAAGCCATTGAATAGGAAAATCTGGTATCTGGGAACTCCCCGCTCCACCCCTGCTGGGGAGAGACCCACATCTGTGAAGTCCTATCCAGCTCTGCCAGGTTCCTCACAGCACCAGAGATGGTGGCCCAGGGAAGGGGCAGAGACACACAGCCTCTCAGAGATGGGTGTGGCTTGCTGAGATGCCAGTCAACCTGTTTGCTACAAGTCTCCTGCCACACAGAGAAGCCAGACTCGTTCCACCAAAACCTTTTCCCTGCCCTTGATGTGCCTCCTGTAAATAAGGAACCAGAGCCATTTGCTAGTTCTGTTCGGCTCCAGCGCCTACCCAGGCTGGAGAACCTCCTGGGCGCTCTGCTTTTAAAACCTATTTTCCGACTCTGCCCCTTATTTCTCACTATTTCAGGCTTCCATCTTCCCAGGTGGCTTTCCTCCTCCTGAGCTGGAGTGGGCCACCTCAGACCTGGTGCACGCAGCCCGGAGCTCCACCCCTGCGCTGCGCCCCGGGACCAGCCCTAGAGCAGCCCGCCCCAGCCTCAGCAGAGATCAGGGACTGAGTCTCCACACAATGGCAGCCAACCCTGGCTGGAGGAAGGGCCCCTGCATATGGTGAGTACACGGGGGTTCGGAGACGCCAAGCGCGGAGGGGGGGGGACAAAAAACGACTCCTCAGATGTGCAGCATGAAAACCTAGAAGACTTGGTGTTTTCAGGACATAGAAGACCTGGCAGGTGACTTAGAAAGACCAGTGGGACTTGGGCGTGTGTCTCAGCGGTAGAGCGATTGCCTTGCCTGTGTGAGGCTCGTCCCCAGAGCTGCAAACCAAAACCTAGCCAACAAAGGTCAGGGTGAGATTGCCCAGGTGACAGGCAGTGGGTGCCATTCACCAAGTTACCCAGTGACTTTATTTATTATCAGGTCCCTCTTAATTTGGGGGGATACTGAGGATTGAACTCGGGAGCATTCAACCACTGAGCCGCAT